GCATGTGCTTGAACATCTGCTTCCTCGCAAAGCGCAACAAACACAGCGCGCGATGTATGTCCTCAGCATCAAAAGTTGGCTCGCCCGTCGCACCCGGTCCAATGTTGGTGCAGTTCCTGAACAAGTACGGCGTGCGCGCCATGAGCTGCACAATGCCGATGGCTTGTCCGATGAGCGGCAGTTCGTCCTCGCCGAACAGCAGCTCGCTCTCGTCCGTCACATCGACCCTCAAATCCGCAATGACGGGCAGGCGATGAAGACCGATGCGCCGGCGGACGATGGCAAATTTGATGCACTCGCCGCTCCAGCCGTTGACGGGGAAGAACAGGTGGAAGATGTGCCTGTGCACCCAACGCGCCGGCGGACCTGCAGAACGCTCGTCTTCGACCGGAAACCACTTCCTATCTTCGGCGGCGAGGAACTGGCGCAGGAAGATCTCGCAAGAGTGGAGGATGTTCATCAGCTGGTGTGTGTGTGGCAGGCCTAGGTAGCCGCAGAGCAGGGTTGTTACGCGGTACGGCTTTTGCAGGTGCTTGAGGTCGCAGATGCGGACGATGTTGGGCGGCTCGTTGAAGTTCGAGGACGGGACTGGTTTGTCGACGTGGATTGCGAGTGGGTTGGCGATCTGCGCGAGAGACTGACGCGGGCGTTGAAGGGGCGTCGGGTTGGCTGGGATTCGACGGCGAGGATCGAATGGCATGATACTCATTTCGTTCTGCCGGTTATGTTCCTTCTGGCTCTGCTGGTATTGCTGCTCATGGCTCATTGCCATGATCGAGGGGCGCCGCTCGTTATGCTTCGCCATCATTGGAGGTGGCTCGCGAGGAGTCATGACCGGAGAGTTTTTGACTGCGTTACAGTGAGCTCAACGCATCCAGATGGAAGAGAAAGTAGAGCTGACTTACCTTGAAAGGATGCAAGCTGTAAGAAAGGCTGAATCGCGCTGTAAGCCAAGGCAGACCGAAGTGTTGCGTTTTGGCGATCTGAATTCACAATGGCGTGAAGATGCTGATTCCGTCTGAACTTCAGACGACAAAAGACGACACCACCACCAAAAAAGGCTCGACGGCGCAAGAGCACTGATGCACAGACCGGCCAAAAGTAAACTTCAGCACTGAATCGTTCTGTGATCCAAGAAAGACTGAAGTGTTGCGTTTTGGTGATCTGAATTCACGATGGCGTGAAGATGCGGGTTCCGTCTGAAATTCAGATGACAGAGGCTGACCAAAACGACACCACCACAAAACCACAACGGCACAGGTGCACCAGTGCACAGACCGGCCGATCGACGACTCCAGCAGATGGCGGCGGGTGTCAATTCCGTTTGGACACGGCACTCCAGGGAAGAGACTCAAGCCTGTGAACAACAAGTTCAAGCTTCGTCACTCCTTCTAATTCTAGTAGAGATGTCCCCCTTTATTAGTGGTTCAAGTTTCTATCAAGGTAAGTTTCGAAATCAGGGATCAAACCTGATAATGTAAGTACATTCATCCGTGGAGCATTCAATCACTGCTACAGACAGAGCTCAGGAGCAGTCATACGCTACCACAAATGAGCCTAGAGAGCTAACATCCACGACAGCATAGAGAATCAGAAGCTCAATTTTTCTCTCAGAACACTGCTATTGCGAGACGATCTAGGTAGTCTCCTTTTCGTTCTTTTCACCCTTCTTGGTGAGCGTCAGACGTGGCATCCACAAGCAAATGGCGTCGATGTGTGCCTAATTTTCCCCAGGATTGTTCTGGTCTTTCTTAGCAGTGTCACGCATGGCATTGAAAAAGTAGAAAACAGAATTTTCATTGACTGAGGGTCTTGTTTCTCTGCCGTTGATTCCACCGCAACCTGCCCTTATCTGGCAGTGTCTGTGCCTTTGAAGGGTATCTGAAAACAAAGCCCCGACCCGCTTTGTGGTCTTTGAATTTGTGTCCGTATCCCAATCTCTCGAGCATTGTTTTACAAACTTTTTTTTTTTTGGTGTTTTTCGCTTTGCTGGTTTTTTTTTTTTTTTTTTTCACATGTGTCTTTCCATTTTTTGACGACACGCGCGCCGGCAGTGTCTCGAGTTGGAGATCATTGTGCTGGAAAACCTGGATAATCGTCAGCTTTCTTGCGTGGAGCACGTCCTGTGAGAGTTCGATCGCGTACCGTTTTTGATTGATTTTTCAATCAGTTGTCGGCGTTCCTTTCCGAAAGGCAAGTTGCAAAAGTGAATCGGAAGCACCCGCAGCAAAGGGTGCTTCGAATGGCGAGTTTCCCATCTGATGCCCAGTATCCACCAAGCCAAGCAATGGCACAAGGCGTTACCGATAGACGGAAGACGTAGTTGTGCTGCTAGACTGCGGTAGCATTGCCACGGTCAATGAATTCGTCTTGATCATGGACGTCTTCATCCTCGCCGTCGGATGTCGCCGCAACTTCCGGGTCCTCACGACCGTCCGTCTCAAGGTGGCCGTGGTCACAGTCGGGGAAGTCATGCTTGCGCAGCCGGTCGAACATCTTCCTCCAGTATCCACGATCGTGGCTGTAGGTGGGGGGATGCTGGTAAATTGTCTCAGGATCCAAGCCATGCAGCTCGTAGAAGGAAGCAGGAAGATGCCAGGGCGCAACGGTGGCAGCAATCCAGTAGGCGTAGGTCGAGCGAGGCAAAGCCGTGTAGAACAGGTCCAAGCATCCTGTGTGGCTCAGCCAGAAGTAGTGGAGGGGGTCGATAGTTTTGACCCCCTCGTCCCAAATCGTCATCTGATGAGTGCAACCTTTGCCAATGGTACTGGTTGGACCGTGGTGATAAGGCCATGTAAGATGCGGGCCAGTGCGGAACCAGATGTTGCTCATTATATCCTCGTCATCGAGGATTTCGTCGCTGAGAACTCCTGACATCGCCATACAGGCCAACTGGTAAGGGTCAAGGGTGCGCATCAGCACCTCTCGCGTAGGGATGTGGCACTGCGATCCAACTGGATGCGCGAGCGACGACGTCTTCTGACCGTTTGATTCTGCCATGTTGCCTTTGAGTAGACCAAATATGATGTGATGTGTGTTTGAAAGACCGGTCTCAAGCGCACAGAGTCTCGAAGTGTGTGTGCCTCTCGCTACGCCAACTGGTCAGCCAAACCTCGCTCCATCTAAGTCAACATCTCGCTAGAAGAGTATTCTTACCTCGATAACCAAGAAAGAGCTGCACCTCCAATTTGTGGGCACCAAGCTGGACAGCAGAGCAGCGCAGAAGTGATGAGGGCGAAGCTAGGTAGAACGACGCAAGAGTTCAAGTGTGCTGAACGTGAGGCGCGTCAGGAGGAAGGCAACCTCAGAAGTAGAGTAACGCAGAAGTTGAAGACGAGCCGCGCGGCAAGCAAAGAGCGCGAAACCCTTAAGCACCTCAGCCCAGATGTTGCTGGAAGCGGTTGTTCAGAGCAAGCGAGAGGTTGAGCGACGCAGGGGAGCAGGCAAAATGTGCTTCAGGCTGTTGCTTACCACTGTAGAACGCGTGACAGCACGCGTGCCGACGGGCAGATTGTAGTGGTGTTGGCCGTGTTGGTGGAGATCCGACGCCGATATCAACGGCTTGTGGCCGCGCTCCGATGCAAGCCTTTGCGAAGCAAAGGCGCTTGAGAGAGGAACGATGGAAGACACACTCAGAGTTTGTGCCTTGAAAAGAGAGGGGAAAGGTGCATGAAGTAAAAGGGCGGCGGATTGGGAGTCTGGGTGGAGTCGAACTAATATTTGTCTCGGCGGGTGACGTTCAATACGACTTAGTCGCCGTTTTGCTGCAGACGGCACAACGGCCACTTTGCTTCAACCCTCGATGAATTAACTTTTCCATGCTCTTTTGCACCTGACATTACGAAAACGTAGAATGGGACATGAGTGTATGGTTGTTTGTGTACGTGACGCCCAAGTAGACGACTAAATAGACGTCTGGGGCACGTGCCACCTGACTAACTAACTACTAATGGTGCAGTTCTGTAACTCTTGAGCTCCCCTGAAAGTAAACTTTACGTCTTGCGGAGCATAGGCGCCAGCTTGACGCCGACGTGAGTGCTGACGCGACACTTCTAGAAGATTGACACCGATGAGAAGCTCGGCAGTTTTGGAAAACAACAAGAGAAGGAGTAAAAAAGAATCTCGGCCATGCTCTGCAAGCATCTCGTTTGGTTTTCTGCGACAAATCCATTTCATGGGCGCAGTCGAGGCGGTGCTTGCAACGCATGACACTTGGATTTTTCATCGCGCTTGATGGATCGATCGCATCCCTACACTTCTAAGTAGCTTCAAAATAAATTAAAGCTCCAGGCATGGTGATCCCATGGTGACATGCGCTAAAGTGGACAACTAGAATAGGTATATCAAAATACTAAGTAATGTGGTACGGTTCCCACAAAGTGGAGTTCTTTTCGACCCCCCCTCGCCAAAAGAGAGATCCGGACGAACTATCCACCTGGACTACCCCTGCACGACATAGCACCGAGAAACTTTCCTTGTTGTACGAGACTCTTCAGCCGGGCATCCCTACACAAACACAGACGTACGCGGCATCCCCTGTAGATAACTCCGTCTTGGATAGCCAATCGGCTCCAGCGAGACGTAAAACAATCAATCAATCAATCAATCAATCAACCCACGAAGTGGAGTCCCAGTAGAAGCTCTTTCAAGACGGTCTAGAAGGAGAACTGATGTTACCATGGGAGCTTCATACCTTGGGGCCATAGAACCAATGTGTGGTGTTAGCATTTTCTCAAGTCCGCCATGTACAGTGCACCGCTAACTTCATGATTCCAGGCCATACAGCAATTGAAATCAGCCTCCAACACACATTCTACGCGAATCTCACGCTCAAATCCTCCATCTTCTCTCCCTGCACTCCCGCGCCGCTCTAGGGGCCCGTCAGGCTTCCTAGGGGGCTTGTTGCGCTTCCTAACGCCCCCTAAACTCCTGCATTGTTCTAGTCATAAACGCTCTTACTCGCCTCCATGAAAGTCCTCCAACAACTAACACCAACCGTCGGGTCTGTGGTCTAGGGGTATGACACTCCCTTAGCAACATCAACAGCTCTCCTCTATAGGAAGCTTCTGATTGCGCTAGAATAGCATGGGAGAGGTCCCGGGTTCAATTCCCGGCGGATCCAGAGGTTATTATTCCGTCTACACGATAGGAATCCTGGTGTTCAGGTTGTGGTGAAGATTTTTTTGGCGTTTCGGTGTGTCGAGGGTGGGTGGAGACGGAGACGGGGATGAGGACCGTGCACGGGCCGCCTGGACGTGGGAGCGTGCTTTTTTTTTGTGGGAAGCGAGTACGAAGGGAACTTGGATGCTATGGGAAGGCGGATGCTCAAAGATAAGGGTTGCTGCGGTGCTGGCGAGGAGTTAGGACAGGGGGTGGCCAAGAATTGGGGAGATGGATGATGGGTTTGCTGGACATGGGAACCGGACCTTTTCGCCTCATGTCGCCACCATTCATTCCCACACTCCAATTCCATCTTTTCCAAGCATCTAATCGCACTCGCGCAATGACTGCAGAATCAGGGGTCGATATCGCCAGGGGGTGGGTGGGTGTGAGCGAAAGAGGTCCCGCGACGCGCGTCAGGTATATCCTTGCCGGTCGCGCTACATGAGCGCGCGTGCAGACCGGCCACGAAAAGCTCCGCTAGCCCGCCAAAATTTCGATGCGCCCACGCGTCGACCGTCTGCTCTCAACGTCATGACAGAACGGCGATTGCGACGATTTTGTCGGTTTGGCTTGGAAAACGTTCACCCGAAAAGCTTGCAATTGCTATTGATCGTTTGGATTTCTTCGTTTTTACGACTGCGCGCGGCATTGGGGCTACTGCGCGGCATAGTTGAGGCGCACTTGTGCCCGACGATATTCTTTGACTCGGCTCATCGAAGTACCGTGACGGTTTGAGAGCGCAACCCAAGCAAAGAGCAGGATCAGAGATCCCAAGGACCAAAGAGAAAGGGAAAGAATCGGACGCTTCAACCACCACGAGAACACCAAACGCACCACTGCCACTCAACCACCATTCCACCAACCAACAACAACCCACCATGCCAACACCACCCTCCCCCTCGCACCCCCTCATCCTAGACGGCGGGCTCGCAACAACACTCGAAGCCCCACCCTTCTCGCTGCCACTACAAACGCGTCTCTGGAGCGCCGCCGCCCTTCTCACAGCGCCCGCCACCGTCCGCGCCGCCCACGCCGCCTTCTTCAGGCACGGCGCGCAAGTCGGCACGACAGCAAGCTACCAAGCCAGCGCAGGCGGGCTGGCGCAAGAAGGCTACGACTGCAGCCTGCGCGACGTCGTCAGCGGCAGCGTCGCCGCGGTGCGCGGAGCGCTGGACGACGCACAGGAAGCGGGACTCGGGCAGAGCAGGCCGGGCTACGTTGCCGGCAGCGTCGGGCCGTATGGTGCGTTTTTGGCGGATGGCAGCGAGTACACGGGGGAGTACGCGCTGTCGCGAAAGGAGTTTAAGGACTTTCATCGCGAGCGGGTGCGTGTGTTGCTGGAGGAGGGCGTCGATGTGTTGGCGCTGGAGACGCTGCCGAATGGCGAGGAGGTGGCGGCGTTGGTCGAGTTGCTGGCGGAAGACGAGTTTGCGGCGAGCGATGTCACGGCATGGGTTGCTCTGTCGGTCAAGAGGGGGGCGGGGGACGGCGATGTCACGCTCTGCGATGGCACGCCGTTGTCTGCTGTGTGCGAGATTGTTGAGGCGTCGAGCCATTTCGTTGCGGTTGGTGTCAATTGCGTGCCGCAGGACCTGGTCTCCCTGGCCCTCAGGCTGTTGAGGAAGCATACGACCAAGACGCTGCTCTGCTATCCCAACAGCGGCGAGGTGTGGGATGCAGAGGCCAAGGTGTGGAAAGGCGACAAGTCACAAGGCGCGAGCTTGGAAGAGAGACTGAGAGAGTGGTGGGATGCGGGCGCCAGGTGGATCGGTGGGTGCTGTCGCGTTGGACCACGGGACATTGAAGTCGTAAGGAAGATAGTGGAAGAGCTTTGGGAAAAGGAACAGAGCGAAAGAGTGTGATCAAGATGTTTTCATGTTGTCATTCGTCATCAGGAGACTACCACGCAACGCCAAACCATGCAAGGGTATCAAAGCTTAAACAGTCGTCTCGTCTCTCAGATCAACCACCTTTCCAGCCGTCAACATATCCTTAGCCCTGCGCACGCCTCCGCTCAGCGCCACCTCGCGCATGACTTCCCTCTCCTCGGCGCCGCTGGCGTCGCCAAACACCTCGTCGATCTGCTCAAGCGTCTTGCCCTTGGTCTCGGGCACGAGCAGGAAGGCCCAAACGGCCGCGAGCATGCACATGATGGCGAAGAAGACGTACGTGCCGAAGCCGGCCTCTTCAATCATGGTCGGCACAATGACGCCAATGATGAAGTTGGAGATCCACACCGTCGCCGTCGACAGAGCCACGCCTTTGGCGCGCGTCGAGTTGTTGAACACCTCGCTGGGAAGCGCCCAGCCCAGCGGCGAGTATGAAACGCCGTACAAGAGGATGTAAAAATAGGCCATGGCCGTGGTGGCCCAGCCGGCGGCCTTGTTCGCGGCCCAGTCGTCCGAATACAGGCCGACCAGCGCGCTCATGACAATGTACGGCAATGTCATTCCGACGCCGCCCCAAACAGCAAGGGGCCGACGGCCGACCTTGTCGATGATACAGAAGCAGATTATGACAGCGACGAGCTGGCCAATATTGAGTGTACCGGAGAGGACGAGCGACATTTAATCCGTCTGACCGAGGCTGGCGAACAGGGTGGGAGCGTAGTAGATAAAGCTGTCATGGTTAGCAACTTTCGCCTGCCGATGCCGAAAAGCACTTACCCGTTGATTCCGGAGAATTGCTGGAAAAAGGCAACACCCATACCCACCGCGGTGCGGCGCCAAGTGCGCTTCTTGAAGAGGTCGGTCCAGGTCAGCAACTCAAGCTTGAAGCCCCTGGCGCCCGGGTGGCGCTTCTCCAGCATTCTCGCCTGGAATTCGACTTCGACCATGATGGCTTGGTATTCAGTTTACACACGGTGGTCCGTCCGAGGAAGGCGACGCAGCTTGCAAAGGCTTTCGATGCAGTCCTCTTCGCGGCCAACGAGACCAAGCCAGCGGGGACTGTAGGGGAAAAAGTGAATGCCAACGCCGAGGAAGACGGCGCAGACCATTTGCAGGCCAAAGGGGAGGCGGAATGAAGCTTCGCCGGCGAGATATCTGGGACTGATTAGAAGAGCAAAAGGGAGGAATCATTCAGTCTTACTGTGTGCCATAAGTCATCCAGTAAGCAATCACGACACCAAGGACAATTGAAACAGATTCGAGAACGAAAAGAGTACCGCGGAGATTTGGTGGGGCAATTTCTGAGATGTAGAGAGGTGCGCCCTGAATTGTTGGCGACATCCAAAAGTCATTGTCTGATGGCTTACCAATGCCAGAGTTCCAACACCAATTCCACCAAAGAAGCAGCCAAAGGTGAGGACGGCGTAGGTGGGAGCTGCTGTCTGGATAATGGCTCCGATGCAGAATATGACGACAACGATGCTCAACGCCCATTTGCGGCTAATCTTGTCGGCGAGCCAGGGCATGAAGAAACATCCCAAGAAGGCGCCGAGTTCGAGCATGGCAGTCATGAGGCCTTTGTAAAAGCCACTTTCGATCTCGGGGTACTTTGCTTTGAATTGAGGCATGACGTCGATGACGGAAATGACGCCTTGGTCGTATCTGCCTGGTTCAGCAAGTGGTTCAAATGGGACAAATATCCCACATACCCAAAAGAAAAGCCGCCAAGAGAGGCGAAAAAGGCAGCACCGCAGACAAATGGCGACCCAATGAGGCCGTGAAAGCCACCCGGACCGTACGAGACATCTTCACCAACAAAGTCGGGGACTTAAGAGGTTGGAAGTGTCTCGACGTGAGTAGTACGAGTCTCGCTTTGACCTCTAATCTCCTTGTCGGAGAGCACACGGTCTGGCTCCATGGCGTTGGTGGAAAGACGATGCAAGAAAGTGACGTCAATTGAGTTCAGACAAAGGGTTGAGAGCAGAAAGAAGAAAGACGGGGAAGTCCAGGCGTATTAAAAGGACTCGACAGTGGTGGGTCACTACCGTGCAGTGCGTGGAAGCATATCAAGATTGTGGCCATGGTCAGTGGCAGTGAACCGGGGGACTGCCTATTCTGAAGCGCAATGCCGTGGAGACAGCTCGGGAAGCAGCCACAGCCGTGGAATGGATCTTACGGGCAATTTGACCGAGAGGAAGAGGCATCTGGGGGGAGGTGGCTGCGGCAGGCCGAATGGGATGGATGCGACGGGGGGAGTGAATGATGAAGCGAGAGAGAGGCTGGGCAGACCAAAGACGCGCCGAATCCCCGCCGACCCAATCAGCGACGCTCTGATGTTCCCCGACGCTGGCTCTCCCCACTCTCCCCCCCCCAAGACCTGGAGAACCGAACTGGAGCCCCAGACTCAGGTCCCGTCCCTCCACAACCCAAGCCGCCGCCGGTGCTACTCGTGCATCTCGTCATCTCTGAATTCATGGCCCCCGTTCCCTTGGACCACGTGAACATTGGCAGACTGGAATGCCGCCTTTTCTTTGACGCTCTTGCATACTCCTCGGCCGTCATGTCTGGCTTCTTCCAATCATGCGGCAAACTTTGCGAACTGTGGGTCGGCACCAAAAAGCCCGACAAGCAAGGAGGCTCATGATGAAGCATCTCGCGCAACGTCATACCTCGCACGCCGCGTGTGGTCCTAGTATCACCCACTGGATTGTCCGCAGCAACACGGACTTGGATTTGCTTTTGCTTCGTTTGATTCGCCCTCGGCCTATGGCTCTTCCTGAACTCGGCCTTTACCCAACCAAGACGGGAGGGTGATCAACGACTGCAAGCCTGTTCAAGAAGAGTGACGACAAGGGTACGACTGTGTTATGCACCGTCAGATTTCCGTCAAACTCAACGCTTTGCTTTTCCACACCGACGGTATTACAAAGATAATTCGTTTGCTTCGACTACACGTACGCTTCTTGAAGCGTGCGAGTACATGGCCAACTCAATTTCAACCAGATTGATCAATTCCAAGCCTTACTTGCTAAACCACCCCCGCGGGACCCCTATTCCGGACTGTGCGTCC